AGCCTGTTGTGTTTCTTAACTTAGAGTGAACTTGTCAATGAATGGAACTAGCTGAATAAATTGACATGAAAATATTCTCTTTGTATGTGCAGAAGAGGCTACTGCTGTTAAAAGCTGGCTATCATGTAGTGACTGCCTAAGTACAGCTTGTTTTGTCTGGTTCAGTTATTAGACAATATATATAGAATATTGTCAGGAAGTTCCTGCTTGTATAGCTTGCATTTAACATAAATGATATTAGAGGTGCACCAATATATTGGTGGTGTATCAGATGAAAGGAAAATGAACATTATTGGCAATAGGCTTTTTTTGGCTGCTGTAGCCAGTAACGTCACTGATAAATGTGGCTTGCATGCATGCAAGCATTTGTGGCTTTCTTTTGGTATTGTATTTTTGATCACTTATGTCTATGGTTTGTATATCTCTTGAGAGAGATTTCTGTTCATCTGGCATATTTACGCTTTTGCTTTGTGGCATAGACCTTTGGCTTTTCTATAAGAATGATTGAGAATGTATGCTTGTACTGGCTTCTCATATAGGAAACCTGTTGGTTAATTCCACTTGGTTGCCTTTGAACTTCAGCAGATTTAACATCATAAAATTTATTTTCTTCCTATGTATTACCTTAAAATCATTGAGGTATAGGATTGTTGTCTGTGTTTTGAAATAGAAAGTGTCTTGCTTTGATGGAATCAGTGCTTTAACATTTATCTTGGGCTACTACAAGGACTTTAGGAAAAGATTCTTGGATTTGTCCAAATGTGACTAGGAGGGAAAAAAAGAGTTTTTTAATTCTTGCCATTATCAATATTTTCCTTTTGTGTGTCAGACTTCGTGGATAAAAATCAATGATTTTTAAAAAAGATTTTTAAAATTTTAAAATGTATTATTTTTATTTAAACTGTAATTTAACTGTAATATTCCTCTTTAAAAATAAATGAGCCTAAAATTAAATTTGATTTTAATACAGCATAAGCTAAAATATAAATTTAGTATAATCTGTTAAAATAATTTAAATAATATATTGAATCAATGAGCTTGTACTGAAAACTTGAGGGTTAAAAGCTGATTTTTCTTCTACATAAGAAAAGGGGTGAAGGGGGGGATCTAACTTTTGAGGTAAACCTTTAAAAATATGGAACAGTATTTCATATATTAGGGGCTTGACCCTGTTAGGGGATACAGGGCTTATACTATTGGTGGCAAAAGGTAAGCAAAGTCATCACAGGTGTTGGAACCTAGCCTCTGACTCCCGCAGACACCGTCCTGTGCACTCTTTGATCAGGATTATCAAGTGAGCACATCCTGATAGTCACATTAACTCCTGAACTCTGACTAGCTCTACGCTCAAATTATGTTTGAGTCTGTTCTGGAGGCTTATTCTCCAGCTCATGGAAACCAAGCATCATCCGCTCAGTAACTACCAACCCTCTGCTTCTGACTGGTTCTGAGTACTCCAGTCAATAGCCTTTCTTGGTCCCTTTGAGAATTATGAGTTCTGAAAACTTGAAAGAAAGGGGGTAAAAATTTTCAGAACAGCCTAGGTTAAAAAAAAAAAGTGACTCTAATGTAAAGAGAATAAGGCAGGTAGGAACTTACGTGCAAATGACTCTCACCTAGGTATTTTAGAAACCTTTCCCATGGGTGACTTGTAATAATTATTCACTAACCACTGTTCATCCTTCTAATGCTATAGCAGATAATATTAGTGTTTAATAAATTAGTTAATTGTTAATCTGCACCATATTTTGATCTTTTTTAAAAAAGTTTCTGTATCCAAAACATTAACACTTTGTTTAATAAATCTGAAATGCTGGTTTGTGTCTTTTAATTAAATTCAAGTTGCCATCTTAATGCAGCTTCATAGAAATATGAGCAAAAAGTGAATGATTTAGTGAATAAGTAATATATATTTCACCATTTTATAGCTTATTAAAATGTTGGATTTCTAACAATCCAAATATTTAAGCTATATATTTAAAAATGTATAGCTTATCTGGTTTGTGTATCAAGGAAACATGTACTAAATCTACTGTAAAAGCTGTATTTAGTTGTAAATCAACATGTTTTAATTATTATATCAACCAATGAAAATGTACAAGGGGAAAGTTGATAAGCAATTATTTAAATTGGGGTTTATGGCTTGCTGATTTAAATCAATCCACCCTGGTCAAAGTAGGCTGTGATTTAAAAATATTTTAGTTTTCTTACTGCTGCTTTTATTTTTCATTGCCTTTTTCTTAAAACTTCTCTATGTGGTCTCACCTTTTGGAAGAAAAAATACACTTGGGTGGGAATCACAGTGTTTGTGGGTTTATGAAAGTTTGCAAAATACATTTACAAAAGTACACCTGTTGAGATTTACAAAAGCACTTAAGTTAGGCAACAAAACCCTATTGATTTTTCAGACTTGTGCTCGTTTATTTCTCTTATCTGTTGTCTTTCAAATTTGTTTGTGTTTTCTATTTTTATGTCCTCTAACTTCATTTTTAAATGGATACTTTACATTATGAGGAGAAGTTACTTTCTTTGTAGTAGGCTGGTAGTGAGGCTCATATTTCAAGTCAGTATTTTCAGACTTTGGCCCATTGCAACTTTGCCAAGTTGAAACTTACCCACTTGAAATTCCACAAATGGGATCATGGAGTAAGATAATGGAAATCCAAAACCAGGCATTCTTGTGAGACAATAAGGTGTTTTGGGTGTTTATTTTATTTTTTAAGGCCCCTTAAATGCATTTGACATAGACATTTCAAATTTGAGTCAGAATGTCTGAGAGACAAACTGAGATACCTTTTGTGTAGTTTTAACAGGGTTAGCTACACAGTCTTGCTTGCTCTTGTTTTGCAGTTGGATATATAAGCTGATCCTTATGCCAGTATGGATACTCACTGAAGTTAGTGAAACTCTGTATGGGCACTAGGTATGTCAGTGTTTATCCTGTTGCAGCATCAGGGATTTAGCTTTGTGATTAGTCCTGTAGCGCCCAAAAGGACCGTTCAGTTGTATAGCTGTTAGTTTGTGAAATGCAAGCAGTGGTGCTCAACCTTTGGGCCCTGTGGGCCAGATGAGTGGTACAGGGCCCATCAGCATGCCATATTGGGCCCTAGGGGGTCCCTTGCCACCCCCTGCATGCCAGGTTGGGTCCTGGTGTTCTGGCATCAACCCTTCCTACCTCTTGTGTACTGGGATTGGGTCCCAGTGGCCTGGTGCTGCCCTCTCCTGCCCCCCACGCCATGTGCTGGGATTGGGTCTTGTAGGGCTGGCACCATCCCATCCTGCTTTATCACCCCAACATGCCAGATTGAGCCCTGGGGTCTGGGGCCATATGCCACCCCTGCCCGACCCTTTGTGTTGTGACTGGGTGCTGGATCCAGTGTGCAGGGCCTGGGGCTCTCCATGGGTCTAGAGATTTGACTGCCCCCTCACCACCAAATTTCTGGACCCGTGGGGAGCCCTGTGAGTTGGATGACTTGGCACTGTGGGCCAGATGTAGCCTGTGGGCTAGAGGTGAGCACCCCTGATTTACAGGATCAGGTTGTAGTCATTCTACATATGTCTTAAAGCTTATGTGGCTGAGGTTTGTATATGAAGTATGTGTTTGAGGCATTGGTCAACAGTGTTTTTTTGGCAGCACGTTGGAATGATCCAGCCTGAGTCCTAGCTGAGCTGGTACTAGGACCTGGCCACTGCTGCTGTTTCTTTCTGTTGGCCAGCCACAACACGGCATAGGGAACTCCCACAGGGAGCTCCGGACTGCAGCATGGTGTGACATGGACAAAGTTGTCCTCTGTCCATCTGCATTATGGCTTGGGTAAAGCTTTCTAGTTTCAGGATGGATCCAGTGGCCCTGTGGGCTGGATCTGGCCAACTGGCCATAGGTTGTCAACCCCTGTGGTAAGGCAGTTAATTCTATATAAAATGTACTGTGGCTGATGAACACTTACATGCAAGAAGATGACATTGTGTTATGTTGTAAAGTAGTGGTGCCCATACTTTTTGGATCAGTGAACCACTGCTACTATCCTGTAGGCCATAGCCCTCCCCTTCCCCTTCCCCCCCCCACTGTTTTTTGTATATATTACAACTGTAAAGGTGATGTAAATAGGGGGGAGACTGTTCTAAGTTGGTCTTCCCTCAGACGTTTTCATTTTCCTGCCTGGAAGTGGAACTTCTCCTTTATGTATCCCACAGCAAAAGGGGGCTTCATCACTGTGAACATATCCTGGAGGATGGTAGTGCTATTCATCACAGCTAAACTTCCCTGTATGCATCTCAGCTAGGGGAAGAAGAGACCTCTTCCCCATATACACTTGATAAAGCTAAGAGAATTTCCTGTCAAGGAGCATCCACAATATCCATGCCTGAAAAAGGGAGTTAGCTATCCTTTCAGAGAATTTTTTTTCTGCCTCCTGCCCCAACAGATGAGGTGGCTACAACCTGACCCCATGACCTACTAAGGAGACCAGCTGTCATCATAAACTCAGTCCCTTGAATATACATTTCACTTAGAGAAGGAGCCTGCTGTCCAAATACATCAATTTCTTACAATGGCTGTCTTTTCATGAGCTGAGAGAAATGTGGTATGTAAGGCAGAGAGAGGCTGCTGTGCTGCACCATGTGCAGGGGATGGGAAGAGAAAGTGGCGTGGCATCTTATTAGTACAGGGCCTAATGAGAGATGTGCATCAGTTGTTAACTACAGTTTGGGAATTGTGGGTGTAAAATTCTGCTTTACAAATTTAAAGGATTCGCTTCGTAAACTTACCTGAAATGACTGTGGGTTAAATGAACAAGGATACTCTCCTAATAATATTAGGAGAAGCTTTGAATGTTGCTTATTATTTCACTAGAGAACAAGGAAGAAAACAAATTGTTCATTTGTTGGTATTTGATAGTAAGTATTTGATCCATAATTAAAGGTATTACTGAAAGCAGTGTATGGCAATTGTATAAATTTTTGCATGTATTTTTAATACTCTGTAAAAAATTTATTTGTAGGTGAGACACATCCGCAGCTTGCATAAAACAGTTGTGCGCAGTGGAGCCGGTGGAGCCTTGTTTGTGGTAAGTAATTTTGCACAAGATTGTTCTTCCCCCCCACCCAACAGAAAAGGGAATTTAAGTTGAGAACTGGGTGAATATCTGAACTTTCAGTTGTCAAAAACTTTTTCCTAGAGTGCCATAGACATTCACGAAGAAGCAAATGTTTTCATTAGATTCCAATGTTCAATCCGTGTGGGGGTAGTGGGTTTGAAAAATCACTTTCTTGTCACCCATTTATTTCCTTAAATAGTTGATGCCACTGGTTTTTAATGAGAATTAAGGTGATAATTCTAGAAGTTGAAACAGTTATTAGAAAGAGTACTCCAACCTTAATTGTTACTGAAAATGCTGTAAGCAGAAATAAATAGCATACTTATTTGGCATTTAATAAGGAGGATATAATGTGTTATAAAAGAGTGATTCAGACTCAGTGTTACATTACTGCCTGGTGTACATGCACTATGGTGCTTGCATTCTTGGTTGTGCAGTGTACCAGCCTCTCAGGGTGGAGGGTTCCTATTCATCTTGGTGATTAGGGCACTCTTAGGAAGTGATAGCTGTTGACATAACATTTACCTGAATTCAAGAGGACTGAATTTAAGATGACCCCCCAATAATTAGATTCTGTACATGTAAAAATTGTTATAATTTGATAAGTTTCCATATATAGAATATAGAATTTTTTTGGGGGGTCATCTTAAATTTGTATCCCCCCCACCACTGCTGGCCCTATGGGCTAGACTCCCCTGTCACTTGTTCCCTTGCCTATCCCCCTCACTCCCTACCTCTCTGTGCTCCCCATGCCTGCCTCTGCCTCCACTCTCTACCCACTGCCCCTTTACCTTCTGTTGTGCCTAGCCTGGCTAGGCAGAAGTGGCAACAGCTCACAGCTTAGCAGGGTGGGTCAGGGCTAGAGGGACCTGAGCTGGAGCAGAAGGTAAAGGGGGAGAGGACAGTTGGGGGGAAGAGTATAGGGGGTGGGAGGTCAGGTTGCAGGGGGGCTGGCACAGGGACAGGAGGTGGGGGGCAAGCACAGGCATGGGGGCTGTGGGGGGAAGGCTGCAAGTTCTCCCCCATGAGGGGGAGACCTTTTGGGGGGTTTGAAGCAATATGGTAAATCTCTCAGGCTGTGAGGGGCCTAGAACAGAGGCGGGCAGTTATTTCAACTGGAAGGCCACTTCACTAATTTTGGTAAGCTGTCTGTTGGGTAGGCAACATTTTTTGGCCAGAGCACCAATGTCTATGCGTACAGTGTCTACCTTGTAAGGTGCTGGAGTGCCGGCATGCCAAAAAAGACTGGGGGACGGGATATGTGGCAGGATGCACTGAATATTAATATAGTTAATAATCATAAGCATTTTTTTATGGTAAATACCACGTTTTCTAAACATTTTAAACCTGGTGACAATAAATACAATTTTGTAGAGGGTGAAAAGGGAAAGAAGAGACGGGAGAGAGGGATAGGCGAAGCTTGGTGGGGCTCCTGGTTCATCCTCTGTGCACGCTGGGCACAGCGCGAGTGGGGTGCCGTGGGCTGTGGCAGGAGCCCTCAGAGCTCTGGGAACAGCTGAACAAAGCTGCGCACTTACCACTGCCAGCCTGGCCCATTCGGTCCCATGTGTCACACGGTTTAGCCACTGCTTCTTCTTACTGGTTCCAACTCAGCCGGGCCCATCACATCCTGAGAAGCATGCAGGAAAGCAGCGGCTGGGCCAGCTTTGCTGTGTGCTGCTTGGGACGGGCCGGGCCCAGCCGGGTTGGAGAAGCGGCGGCTGAGCCAGATGATCCATGTACCGCTTCTTCGCATGCTGCTTGGCACAGGCTCAGCAACAGCTTTGTCTCTTTGGTGCCAACCTGGCCAGGCCTAGCCTGTCCCAAGTGGTGTGGGGAAGTGGCATACAGCTCAGCTGGCTCAGCTGCCACTTCTCCTCACTGGTGCTGACCTGGCCAGGCCCGTCCTGTCCCAAACGGCACACAGCAAAGCCAGCCCAGCTGCTGCTTCCCTGTGTGCCACTCAGGATACGATGGGCCCGACTAAGTTGGCACTGGCGAGGAGAAGCGGTGGCTGAGCCGGTCCCGAGCAGCATGCAGCTCAGCTGCCACTTGTTTGCTGGTGCTCATCCAGCCCATCCCGACCCAAGCAGCACGCAGCAAAGCTGGCCCAGCTGCTGCTTCCCTGTGTGCCACTCAGGATGGGATGGGCTCAGCCAGGAGGGCACCGGTGGGGAGAAGTGGTGGCTGAGCTGTGTGCCGCTTTGGACCAGCCGGCGGAGGTAAGGGAGGGCACAGCTGAGCTGTGTGCTGCTTCAGCCAGGCCAAGCTGGTCCTGAGTTGCACTTGGCTCAGCTGGCTGGGCCTCCACTTCTTGCCAGTGCCAGCCTGGTCAGGCCTGTCCCATCCCATCTCGAGCAGCACACAGCAAAACCAGCCCCGCTGCTGCTTTGCTGCATGCTGCTCAGGACAAGATGGGACAGGCCAAGTCAGCTCCAGTGAGGAGGAGCAGCTGAGTAGCGCGTGCTCCCACCACTCCCTATGGCCCCTGCTGCTTGCAGCACTGCTCCCCAGGGCCCCTGCCACTCCCTGTATACCCCCACAGCTGCAGCACCTTCCCTCTGCTTCTCTCCCACCTTCCAGCCTGGTCCAGGAAGGACCATGGGGCTCCTGGCCCAATGGGCTGTTCCAGTGGTCCCATTCCCCATCCAATCCTACCTTACTTTCCACTTGGATGGGGGGCAGGGTTGCGAGGCCAGAAGCTGCAGAGGCTTCTAGTTTGGGGATGAGGTTAGGATGGGGAGGGGGGTGGGCTGGAGTCAGGCTGACCCTTCTGCTCAGTCACAGGCTCCTGCTGGGTCCTGCTGCTGCTGGCTGCCTATCATCTTTGACAGGTAGTGAGGGGCAGATAAAAATTAATTTTCTAAAAATTTTAGAGGCTCCATGGGCTGAATAGAGTGGGCTTGTGGGCTGGATGCTGCCCACGGTCCGTATTTTGCTTGCCCATGGCCTAGAACCTCAGTCTCCCAATTTGTGGCTAAGTACTCTTCCTATTGGCGTAGTATATAAAATGGGGACAGTGGCATCTTCTCTTGCTGCAAAAAGAATTATTCAATTTTTTACCAAGAATACTTGTTAGGCATCTGTTTTCATGAGTAGACTGTGGGCTGTGAGTCCAAATAGGTGGAGGTGCCTCCATTGCAGCCTAGATTTACCTAAGCTGTGGAGATCAGAATTCCTCTGTCCTCAGTATTTCATGTTGGCTGGCTCTAAGCAGCTCCCTGCTCAAAATGTAGGTATTTTGGATCACCCTTCTGAGGTGTTTACCTCTACAGAGCTTATGTACTTAACTCTTGATTATGGATTTCTCTGGAGACCAGGTTCCTAGATTTGTTTTGCAGTGCTGAACTTGTTGGTAACTAGGGCCGGAGCCAAAAGGATGTAAGTTCCTGAATGACATGTCAGTATTGTCACTTTCCTTTTCTGCTTCTCTTGCTTTATGGTGTTGAAGGTCAATAAAGTTTCATTATTGAACAGAAAGGGGGTCATTCTGGAGCAAATCTAACTTTACTTCCAGTGTTATAGTTCTGGTTTTATGTTGGTTTCAGTATAAAATGATTGGTTCTTCTATTCCTGTTCAAGATTTTATGATTCCATGTTGTTGCATTTCTTGTTTAAAGACTGGGTTTTTTTTCTTTTTAATCCTGTGGACTACAGGATTGGTCTGAAGACGTGAAGGGACATATTCAAGCTAATCATAGAATCTTAAAAGTAGGGTCGGAAAGGACCTTGTAGATCTTCAAGTCTGACCCCCTGCCTGAGCAGGAGAAAAACTGGGCTCAAATGACTCCAGCCAGGTAGGCATCAAGCCTCTTCTTAAAGACTGCCAGGGTAGGAGCCAGCACCACTTCCCTTGGAAGTTGGTTCCAGCTCCTAGCCGCCCT